GTTCAAACATCTTCAAACATCTTCAAACTTGCCTCTAATTTTCGAATCTGCCTATCCGATAATATTTTAGAAAGAGTATGAAAAAATAAATAAATAAATTTACAGTTCAAACATCTTCAAACATCTTCAAACGTTTTCAAATATTTCCTCCACCTTCTCGGACGAGATCAAGAGGGAGGGCAAATGCGATCAAATAACGTGTAATTACCACGTGGTACGAATACGCTCTCGAGAGTCGAATCGCGTGCGCTTGAAAGCGGCGGGCAAGCGGCTTGTTCTCGCGCTTGTTAAGATTCATAAAGCGGAGCATGCGTTACACGCGACCCAACGTCCCTCATTAGGCCCCTAATTAAGCGCGATTATCCTCTCCCTCCCTCCTCCTCCCCCTCGTAATTAGCCAAATGAAAAAACAAAACAAAAAGAAAAAAAAAGAAAGAAAAAAACGGCATTACGCCGTGCGTGAAAATTTGTACAATGCAATTACAAAACTCGTGACACGCGAGTTTTGTTGTATGGAAATACTGTTAATTGTTATCGGTCGGACGGAAAAAAAAATTTATCGCGCGCGAAAAGACACAAGAGAGTGATTGTGTTGTTCGTCAAAAACTTGCGAAACGTCGTTTTGATTTACCAGTCACGCCCGAGGGTTCGTTAATTCCTAATTATTTCGTCGGCACGGGAAGACTACGCCGAAGCATTTGAGAAGGATCGTTAGGAGTTTCACGACCGAGCCTTCGGCGTTGAAAGTCCCCAGTGTTTAATGAATTAACGAACGGAGCCTTGGGGTTTATTACTTTTTGGCGAGTGCACGATGACAACGTGATCTCGGTGACTAATGGCTATCGAGTTAACGTCGTTTTAGAGGCACTGTTTCGACAGGATAATTACGGTATTAACGGTTAGATTGTGATACATTAAACGTCCGCCCCGGAAAACTATTTTACACATATACATACAGTTTTTGACAATTTTCCAATTTCAAATTTCGAATTCAATATTAATTCGTGTCGTAATTCATTATCTGGGAATTAAAAGTTATTTTGACAATATAATGAGATTTTAGAGACAATTTCAGCATTTTAATCTATCCTTTTGATTTCGATTCATATTCCTTTATAATTATAAGAAAGAAGAAGAAGAAGAAAAAAAAGGAAACAATGCACACCTTGAATATCAATTTTTATTCCAAGATCCTGTGATATCTCTAATCCGGTAATCAGTTTTCTCAATCCGCTTACATATCTATTATTTTCCTCTTTGATGAATCAGATAAATAAATATAACCTGATGATTAACATTCGACATTGTATCGTGTGTAAACGTTACGCAAAACGTACGTTAATTATCATTAATCCTTCCCCCCTCCCGCCTAATTCTTCTTCTTCATTTTCCTTTTCGAATCGAGGATAGAGTCGAGATAAAACTCATCGCGAAAAGATTATCACTCGAAATTAATCCCTCGCCGCCTCAAAATTCGTCCACTTGACGAATTGTTGTAATAACGAATAAACTGATTTAAATGTTTTCCTCACTTATCACTCATAAATAACGAGTAAGAAGGTTTAATTAACGAGGTCGGGCTAAAGGCGCAACATGCAACCAACTATAGCGGTGTTTAAAGGGTCACTAAGCGCTGCTTGAACTTGTATCGCTCAACGCTAATTGCATTCCGAACATAACCTTAATGATGCTATCGTACTTCCTCGCTTATATATATCCTTTTTGCAACTCTTTCTCTCGAGAAGGAGGAAGATCTTGCAGAATTTTTATTCCGTGAAATTGAAATTTCGTTTCCTTTCCTCTTTGAAATGTTCTAACCTAACCTCAATCTCATATATTTGAAATTCGAATATTTATATTCGTTGAAAATTTACAATTTCACAGGAGTTTTGAGA